TTTAGCGCTTCTAATAGGATACCAAACCTAGTTGTGCTTCTGGGTCAAAAGTTAGGTCTTACTTTTAAAGCTAGCCAATCCTATCACAAAGCAAACGTTAAAATAACGGAATTGTCGATAAATCAAAAACGTATTTAGCAGAATAATAAGGAAAAATTACTTTATTTTGAGTGAGTAGGTTTAAAAACTTTCTTGAATAAGAAGGGGGCAAGGCTAAGAAAACTTGACTGGCATCGTGAAAACTATTCACATTAGCTGGAAAAATTTTATTATCAGTCAGCTCAATTTAGTCGTCGTGTGTGACTAAGTTCTTGATAAAATGCTTAATTTCCCACCTTACATGTCTGTAAAAGTATGGAGTCGCTGTGTTTAGATTCGTCCTCGAAGCCAGTATGAGAATCGACCGGATTTCTATTCCAAAGGATCTAAGGCAGATAAAGCTACGAGGTATCTAGGGTAGCATTTATTCACTGCCTCTAGCAACAGTAATTTTTCATCCAAGTTGCTTTCGAGATATCAGTAATTCTTGAATAAGTACTTTATCCACCCAAGGTTGCTTAGGATGGTTTAATGAAGTATAGCTGAGTCCCCCCAGAATGAGATGAGTAGGCCTTGCACGCGTCCATGGGTACAAGTGGGTCCCAAGTTAGATACATTTATTCAAGGCATGCCTCATTCAGATCACATTTGTAGGGAAATTGCATTTTAAACAAATATTTATTTGCCAATAAAAGTGATAACTTTGCTTATTTTCAATGCCAACTATTTTCGAGAAGATCGTTAATTTCTAAATAACAACTCAGTCACCTAGATGGCGGCATTAATGAACTGTAATTTTCTTATAAAGCTGACATGGAATATTCTTGAATATCATCCGCAAGGTTTCATTCTTCAAGAGTTATGCTGCTCATTCTTAAATGATACTTGCTAGCAATTAAAAGACCTAGGATGAATATTAAATGAAGCTCGCTAGACAAGTTGGAATTCGTATTAAACCGAACTTCGCTCTACGTTCCTCAATCTTTGAGGGCTAGATGCATGGCAGGAGTGAGTTGATGATGCACCACATTATAAATTTTAAGCACAGGTTGGACCAAATTTCCAGTAGATTTTACACCGCCTACATTTGAATAAATGCAAGTCAGTCACTATAATAGCACGGAATCCACATATAGGCAAATTTCCACTATATCTTGAATTTAAATTAGGAAAACTGTGATGGGATGTAACCCTATTGACCCAATTTCAAGCACTATGTAATAGTTTCACTAACTTTGTACCTAAATTCACCTCCACCATAGCTCGCCTGACCTCTGACTTCGAAGGGATACGCAGAGAACCTGTGAAAAAATGCCTAACCATTCTCGCAAAGTTGTGAGGCGATCAACCTTATGGCAAAGAATGTAATAAAACAAATAACCTTAGCTCCTTGGCGCATGCAGCCTCATTTATACCGACCTCATTTCCAATTTACTGCCTGCATCCTAGTGGAGAAGTTTATATAAAATTTAGTCTTTATCATCAATAGCCATAATAAATATGACCCGGTATTTATGTTGATAAAGATGAACGCATATAAACATATCATTGCAAACTCAAAGTCAACAAACCCAAGAAATACCCTAATTCGTTCATATTTCGTGCTTGTGTTATGATCGAATTTAACTGAACAAAGAGGTTCTAAATATTCTAATAAATATCTCACAACTGTAAATCTATGGCAAAGGATAAATGGGTTGGTTGTGACCAGATCTCGATAAGGGCAAGGAAAAATGAGATCTCCACGATATGTGGATTTCGACAAATTTATGCTAATAGTCGAATTCACGATACGTCCGGAGCACCGAAATGTGCATAAAAAATTCCCGAACTCTTCAAAGATTTTTTAAAAGGGGGTTTTTTGACAAAAAAACTAAAAATTAAAAAAATTAAGCAACTGATTTACATAACTTTGATAAACAATAATATCATACACAAGTTACGACAACCAAGGCAGTAACCAAAAAAGCACGAAAACACGAGGCGCCAAAATTTCACTTTGTAAATGTGTCTACTAAAAGTAGTATATGGTTTTATAGTTATGGGCACCCATTTGGCATGCCAGTTTGACTGGTGCCTACTTGACGTCAAAATTCAACACGCTTGTCTGCGAAAATCTCCAGAGCCCAACTGCAATGATGAGCAAAACAACAAACACAGCGAAAATAGAGCCTACAACCATTGGCCAAATGAAGGCTGGTCTCTTGTGTACAGCCTCTCTGGTCGCCTGCTCTATCGGGCTGAGAGTGGGCTTATTCATGTCGGCCGAATTGGTGGCACTCTGGCTTTGAAACTCTTCGGCTTCCGCGAACGCTCTGCTCTTCAGGAGGTCATTCTGCTCGGCGCCTCGGGCCGAACTGGTTTTCGTCGAGCTCTGCGACACATGAACTCGCGAAATTTGTCGTTCCCGGCTGTCCGACGAGCTCGACGCGGCGTCCATGACCCAGCCATCCTCGGTGCTGTGAGGACCCCGTGCCTGCGTCGCATCCGAACTGGGCCTCCGGGCTAGAGAGAACAAAATAGATGAGGTGGTGACGATGGCAGTGGTAGTCACGTGTAAACTAAGCATACAGCAAATTGAGAATGTGGTGAGGGAGTGTGACTGTTTTGTGCGGAATGCCAGAATTTGCGGTTCGTGTCAAGTTAGCTGCAAACAGGTTGCCTAAACGCTTCTTTGGCCACGCATGAGAGCTTTTCATAACACCCGCCTCGGGAGATGTAT